TAAAATAAATAAAAGAAATATATTGTATAAAAGAAATATATGCTATAGATGACATAGATGACATAGATGATATATATGATTTCTTAGGAATCAACGTCATCCTTTAGATCATCATTATCCATGTCTTCTTTTGTATAATAATAGTTATTTTTAATATTAATTTTAAATTTAATTCTAAAATAAGTTTTATTTTTTAATAATTATTCTAATTATTATAATAATATTATTAAAAAATTAAATTTTGAGATTTTTTAATGTTTAACATAATAATATTAAAAATAAAAAGCAATAAAAATAAAAATTTTATTATAATCTAATTTTAATAATAATTTATATATTTATATAATGTTATTAAAATTAATTTTTTTATTCTAAATTAGTTAAATTCATTTTAAATATTAAAATTAATTAGTTTTTTAAATTAATTAAATTTAATTAAATTAAATTTTAGTATTAGTATTTAAATAATATAATAAATAAATTTGAATTTTATTAATTTTTAAATATTTAAATAATTAATAATTAAATTAATATATTTTAAACTATAAAAGTTAAAATAATTAAAATAATATTATATTATATTATTTTAAAATATAAAATATTATAAAAAATAAAAATTAATAAATAAATTGGAAATTAATAATCTTTAATATATTAGAATAGTCTAAATAAGAGTATTTTGAATAATAATATTTTTATAAAAAATGAAAAAATATTAATCAAGATATTATTTTTATTAAACTTATAATTAATAAATCCTATTTAAATTTATAAAATAATATTAGTAAATATATTATACTTTTAATTTTTTATATATAATAAACATATAAGTATTTTATAGTAAAAAGTAAGAAACTTTAAAAATTTTTTTTAAGTTAATATTAATTTTAACATAATTTATTTAAAAATTTATATTTAATATATAAAGTAAAAATTAATTTTTTAACTTATAAAATTTTAAATATTAATAAGTTTATTAATATATTAAATACATAAAAAAATAATTATGATTTATTTATTAATAAAGTTATAAATATTTACTATAATAACTATTTCAAAATAAATAACTTTATTTTGATTTGAATTATATTTTGTCAAATATTTTAGATAAATAAAATAAGTAAAAAAAAAAAAAAATATAATATAAAATAAAAGCATTTATAATTTATTTAATAAATAATTTATTTTATTAAAAATTAGATATAAATAATATATTAAAATTTCTTTATAGAATATATGACAATAAATTTTATATTATTTAAGATTTTAAAATATTACAAAATTTAATATGGTAAGAAAAAATAACAAAGAAGTCTTTTTATATTAATGCTGGCTAATATTAGATATATAAGTAATAAATTTTCTTAATAAATTTTAGTAAATATTATTTACTTAAATTAAGTTATTAATATATTAACAATTTTGAGATAAAAAAATTAACAATTTATATTAGAATTATAATAACAAAGTAAAAAATTTATTTTTATTTTTATTTTCTTACCTACCTTTTTCTAAAGTATTCTTATATTTATTTTCATTTTGATTAATAGAATATAATATTTTATAGAAATTAATGCATGACATGTTAAATAGGAAAATAAATAATAAATTAATATCATTTAAAATCCTCCAAGAGTATTCGTTACGTATTCGTTACTTATGTAAATTCTTCAATTTGAAATTTGCATTAAATACATCAAATACATCATTTGTAAGGAGGTTCAAAGGGTTTCGGGGCTTTGTAATCATTCAATGTTGCTATTTTAAAACATATTGACGTAATTTCTATTGTGATTTGTCATACATCATTTTTAAATGAAAATAAATTCTCGAAACTTCATTTTGTTTCTCCGTCAATATTTATTTTGAATCACTGTATTATTAAACTGTACTTGTTATTTTATTTGTACAGTTACATATTTATTGGTTACTAATTCTGGAGTTCATTTCTTTTGTTAATTTGTGAACGTAAGTTTAGTTCTATAAAAAAGTTTGCATTTTGACCATATATTTTATCTGTTTAATAAATATATTTTCGTTTTCCATTTCCTTTTTATAGGTTCTCCGAATTTAAAGGTTCAAATTATAATTATTTGTTGTCGATTTTCGATTCATTTTTTTTTTCATTAGTATTTATATTTATTTGGCTATTAGGTAAGAAATTTTGAGATCGCTTGGATAAAATCATTTCAAAGTATTATATCGTAGCTAACGATAATTAACCTCATCATTTATAGAATACTTAGTATTTTACAATATGCATAAAACGGATTCGGGTTTTTATGTTATCGACGTTTTGCCACTACATAATACTAGCAAACGTCCATTCCATCTCGAGAAAAGGATGAAATCCAAGAAATCCTTTTCCTCATACGGACATGGTCATGGTGATGATAAACTGCTTCAATATAGCCCATATGATGCTCAAACGAAAAGAGAAGCTATCCTTGAACAAAGGCGTCTTAAGTTAGCTCGCCAATTCTTGCACGTAAAAGATGTTCTTATTAAACAACATCAGCGTGCTCTTAATGATTCTTCTGCCAAGAGATCACAAATTCAACAAACTTTGCGGCTCGCTGAGAAGAATAGGAATACCATCTTGCAACGATTGGTTGAACAGTGCGCCCAAGAAGTTGCTAGATGCAAAGAAGTTGCGCGTCAACAACAACTTAAAAACCAAGAGGAAATTGATAGACGACGTGCTGATTTAGAGCGTCGCCAAAGAGCTACCGCTGCTCGTCGTGCCAGACTCCTTACAGTGCCAAAATCTCGTATTTTCTCTAACGAGATGACTATTCCTCCTACTCGTGAAGAAGCTGCTGTTATTATTCAAAACCATTGGCGTTTCAGACAATTCTCTAAAGTTATCAAAACTTATCGTAGCTTTGATATTTCCGTTCACACCATTGAAAACATGTCTTTTCATGACACCGTAGGATTGTTACAAAAACCAGCAGTTATTCAAGCCACTAGTAGATTATTACAGGAGGTTCGAAAAGCTTCTCCTTTAACATGTGGTACGAACAAGTATAAAAATCCTGCTAGAGTGTTTTTAAGTGCTTACATGATCGTGTCCCATACCAAGGAAATTATTGTCAATATCGGTCATCATGAAAGGGTAAGCAAATTTGTGAATTCTCACTCCCACATTATGCTTAGTTTTTTGGTTTATAATTTGGGGGTGATGGTGTTTGGATGGAGAACGAGGAAAATATTCAAATATTATAAAAGGGATTAGCTAGTTTATTTATTACATCTTGGTATATGTGATAATGGATTTAATATAGGTAGACTTTAGTGCGATCATTGATAATACATTCAAAAATTATTTACAGATTTTAATATGATTTTAATTATTATTTTGATACTTATCAAAAATGCTTTTGTTTTCTTTTTTCCAAATTTTATTATCGTTCAAAAATCTATTTTATAGAATCTCTTGACGTCGGCCAAGGTTATGTTGAGAGAAATTGAACAATGGTTCTATGAGATAAGCAATGATGGACCAAATAAAATTTATTATGGTCATCTCCTCAGCTTTCTTTCTGCGTGGGATACCTATTATAACAATTTCAATACTTGGAAATCCAAGGATAGTCAAAAACTCGCTAGTAATCTTATCGCACATTATATGGAACTTGAAAAATTGTGGAATACAGTTAAAACACAGGCTAATGCAGAAACCGAGTGGAGAATGAATATTGTATATCAACAAGAGGAGATTAGACATAAAGTTAGGAACTTGGGTGGAGATGAGGCGATTTCCAAATTGGAACGAGTATTGAGAAGATTAAAAGCAAAACTTCCAAATGAAAGTGGCGACGAAACTAAAACATCAGATTCTGTTACTGGAACTAATAATGGGCAAGGGAATGAAGTGATCAAAGAACAAGATATGTCGAGTTCCCCACCGCGACAAAAATTTGTTCCTTCTGCTTTGGCCACTAATGTTCCTAATAAATTGGCACAGAATTTATCTCAATCAATTTCCAAATCATCTTCGCCCACGACTTCTTATTTTACGTTTTCTCCTAGTACTAGTCCTCCGGTTTCTCCGTCGCATTCTTCGACGAATCTTCATCGTATCATGCAAAGTTTGGGTGCTCATGAAAGATACGATCTGACTAACGAGCAACTTGCACATGAAATTATTATTGATCCTGAATTTGAGCTACAACCTCCAAAGAGGACGGAATTAGAAGATCGTGTTAGATCTATGGCTACTAAGGCATTCTTCGATTCCGCTAGAACAGATTTTGAAAAAGGAAAATACGACATTTGGATTCCTAATCTCCTCGGCGATGTTAAAGAGGTTTGTACAAAAAGACTTTAAATAAATCCTTTCACTAACAGTTTTTTACTCACCATACATATTTTTAAAACAAAATAGCGACTATTTGATTTGGTTCCACCATCTTCTCCGTTGCATTCATCCATCAATGAAATCCTTGATATTGATTTGATTAAACAACAAACCAAAGCTGGTGTATATAATATTCGTAATTGTATTGTTTATATTACCAATACTATGTTACAAATTTGTGCACCTGTCCGAGATGAGCAAATTCAAGAACTTAAATATGTAAATGATCTTGCAGAGATTTTTAAGCGTATATTGGAAATCATGGATCAAATGAGGTTGGATCTTACTAATTACCGAGTTAAGGCATTTAGGCCTTATTTGAAAGAACATGCTGTTGATTATGAAAAACGCAAATTCGAACAGGCGTTGCAATCTAATCGTTTGACCCTTAACCAAACTAAAGCTTGGTTAACTCCAACTATTGATTCATTGTTGTGTACAGTTGCAGAACGTAATCCTGAGAATATTCATCTCCCACAGCATAAACATAATCATGGTATCAAATTTGGTCAAGTATATAATGAGGCTTTTGTCTCATTTATTTTCCAACAATCAATTATTAACAAAAATAATTGTCCCGAAACATTTAACCTTGATGTTGAAAGGCTTTGGAATTTTCAAAACGAAGGCCAGGCCATTACTATCGCGGCTGCACTATTGATTCTTACCAAGAACGTGGCTAGCGGTCATGCTAACGCTTCATCCACCGACGATAACCTTACTAAATTAAAGGATACTTTTTTTGTATTGTTGATGGATGGTGATACTACTATCGATAACTTATCTGCAGCGATTTTAGATTATTTTCCATCATCTCTTTCTCCTGAAACTCAAACCCTAGTTAAGTCAATGGTTTCTAAGACACTTTCCCAATCTGACAAAGTTTTTTCAATCTTGTCTCGTCGAATTCAAAGTATCATTAAGCAACATCTTCAGACAGGCCAATTTCCTAAAAGCGAAACATTGGCTCAATATGGCGTATTCACTGTGTCGAAGGAATTGGAACAACTTAGTAAGAAAATTTGTGTTCTAGGAAGGTATAATCGTGAAGTTTATGCTAGTTGGTATGATACTATTATTAAAGAATATTTGGATGATGTTAGTGAAGCAGAACAAAAGAAAAAACAAACCAAAAAGGGCAAATCGAAAAACATTGATGAATAAATAAATAAATCAAATTTATTCATATTTAACTTTTATATAAAACGAAAATTTAGCTTTGCAATTTTGCTCATGCCTATATTTAAAATTCAGACATTTACGTTCTTTGATTTAATTGAAATGAATTCATATTATTTAGTAAAATATCTGTAATATTGATAAGGGTATAAATCAGGTCTATTGAGTTTATTATTTTTTTTTTTTTTTTTAAAAAAAAAGCGCATATTCCGAACTTGTATTCACTTAAGAAAAAACTTAGTTTTTTATGAATAAATTAGATTTAACTGAATTACTTAATATACAATTGTTATACAATGTTACTAAATAAATAAATATTTATACATCGATCTTTTTTTCATTACAAACATCTTAATTATTTTTTAAATCAATCATATCTTCGCGACGAGCACCAACGCCAATCCATTCAACTAACAGTAAACGTAAAAATATTGTATGTGTAAGTATTTATAAATATCATTCAACATACACACATGAAGAAACTTACTCGGAACTTCTAAATATTTCTCGATTCTTTTTACGTAATTTTGTGCGTTTGTCGGCAAATCAGAAAATCGACGACATTTTGAAATGTCAGTTTGCCATCCCGGTAGATTCTCATATTGAATGGTGATTTTTTCAAGGGATTCCAAGTCCGCTGTGGTAATAAAAAAAAAAAAAAAATCAGTTATGTTATAGAATTAAAAATAATGTTTACATCATGATACCGAGTAGTCTAAAAAATTAAATATACCTGGAAAACTTTCCAAAGGGATTCCATCTAATAAATACGCAGTTGCAATCTTGATTTCTGGAAGGTCATCCAGGACATCAAGTTTCGTTAGGTTGAGACTAAGGGATCCAAGGATTAATTAGTTTCAGTTGTCAAAGACCACGTTATTTAATTATCTTCACAAATTTATATTTACCTCGTATAACCGTTGATAAGAGTTGAATACTTCAAAACTACGAGATCAAGCCACCCACAACGTCGCTTTCTTCCAGTAGTAGCACCTATTTCTGCGCCAACACGCTGTAGATATTCTCCAGTTTCCTATAAAATCAAATTTAATTAAATATTGAATTAATCATTTTATAAATAACGGAAGAAACTTACGTCAAGTAATTCGGTGGGGAAAGGTCCGCCTCCTACTCTAGTTGTATAAGCTTTCACCACACCAATGACTTTATCGATCTTGGATGGTGGAATACCCAATCCAGTACTAACACCACCAACGGTAGTGTTAGAACTTGTTACAAATGGGTAAGTACCAAAGTCAAGATCGAGCATCAAAGCGTTGGCACCTTCTACTAAAATTTTCTTTTTTGAAGCTATACACTGGTGCATGAAAGTTACACTGTCAACGACATAGGGCTGAAGGCGAATAGATAATTCCTAATTGTTGGATAAATCTTTAATAAACAATCAAAATGTTGGTATATTTAGATGTAATAAAAAAATAAAATAAATACCTTGTAACGTTCAATTTCTGCTTCAACATTGTAATCGAAATTCCCGTATCGTTTCTTTCGATTCGTGACCAATTTTTGAAATTTTTCAGCAAATGCTTGATGATTCGACAAATGGTGAACCCGCAAACCAGAACGTGAGGCTTTTGATGAATACGCTGGCCCAATACCTTTCTTGGTTGTACCGATACTAAAAGATTTTCCAGAACAAGGAAGGTCTCTCATCAGATCCAGAAACTTACATGACTACAGTTAAATTTTTATTCTCATGTAGCATCATTATTACGAACAACAATTTGACAGCTCTAATTGGATATCATGAATAATACACCTTGAACGACCAAGTTCTAATTCTTTCAACCCATCAACAATCTGATAGAAATCGAATACTAAATGTGCACGATTCGATAGAAATATGCGACCTTTAACATCCAATCCTAAAATAATCAGATAATTTTATAAATATGTTGATTCAATTTTGATGTGATTACCAGATAATAACTATATACCTTTTGCTTCCAGTTGTTCTAATTCGGTAAAGAACGAAGGAATATGAACGACAACTCCCGATCCGATAACCGATACGCATTTAGGATTGATCAAACCTATTAAATGTAAGAAATTATCATTTTGCAAATATACTTACTTCATAAGAGTTTGTTTAAAAAAAAAAAAAAAATTACCCGAGGGAAGTATATGGAAATCATACTTAGTACCATTAACTACAATGGTATGTCCAGCATTATTTCCTCCCTAAAGATAAACATATATAAAAAAAGGCCAATGAAATAAAAGTTTTAAAAATGCAGTGGGAAAAGGCGGCCAACTCAAAGCATACTTACTGCGCAACGTGCGCACACATCAGCCTCTTGTGCCAATAAGTCAACCAATTTACCCTTTCCTTCGTCGCCCCATTGAGAACCTAATACAACAGTAATGCCTTTATCTGAAAGATTCGACTTTGAGAATATACTCATTATGATGCTACAAAGATTGTGCGAGAAGAAAAAAATTTTTTTATTTTTTTTTGAACAAAATTTAAATTATGCATTATTTGATTGGCTGTTTACAATTGAGATCTCATTGGCCACAATAAGCAATTTAATGACATTTCGATATTTATTACATTAAAAATTGTTTATAAACAGGGTTATCAGTTTCGTCAACAACGTGGTACCCTAAATTATTCTTAAAAGTTTCAAACGCTTCGGAATCCTGAGGCGGAACTTGAATTCCAGCCAAAACTTTACCTATATCTGTAACAGTAATATGAGCATGTTTAATATAGAAATTTACACAGGAAACTTGACCAACTTTCTTGTTCATCATACCCGATCCATGATTACGATAATGAAAAAGTGAAATATTCCAATCCGATCTAAGTCCGCATAAGAATTTTTGAAGTGCTGCAGGTCTTTCTGGAAATTCTATAAAAAAAGATCACAATCTATTTAATATGATATCATTTAAGGGCAAAATCACGTGGGATATTCTATTAAAGTACCAAATCTATATAATCGTTCATTTTCGACTTTACTTCTGCCTCCTACTAGGTATCTAGCATGACTCTTGGCCATCTCATTATCGCTAATGTCTTGTCCGTACATTCCATGTTCTCTCAAATCATGCAAAATTTTAGGAAGCTCTTGCTCACGATTATTAACCATGAATGACATATAAATCCATGCTTTGTCTGAATCAGAGTATCTTTAACAAAATTCGTTAATTAAAATTATTAGTATTATAATAAACAACGTACGAAAAATTTTTTTTACCTATAAGAGAATTCTGTTATTTGACGTGGATAAATATGATTATAAAGTCGCACGAAGCTAATTCAAATACAATATATTAGTGAAACATAATTATTATTAAATCCAAGGATTGTGAAGTGGTTTACACCTTCCAGGACGCTCCGGTATAATAACGGATATCAAAGCTTCACGTTGTTCCCCAAGTTCAGCACGTTCGGCAACAAATCTAAGCCGATCAAAGTTCATATTTGCTCCTGACGTGACGGCTACAAATATCCCACCACTTATTTTATTATCAGCTATATATTTTTTAACACCTGCTACTCCAAGTGCACCAGCAGGTTCTACAATAGATCGAGTATCTATAAAAGATTAAAGTGTAAAGAGTATTATTACAAAGCAATTAAATTTATCGTTTAATTAAAATCGTGTAAAAAAAATATATCGTGCCTTCAAAAATGTCTTTGATTGCAGCACAAATTTCATCGGTGGTCACCATAATCATTTCATCCACCACCTTCCTACATACTCTAAAAGTTTCTTCTCCTACAATTCTAACAGCAGCTCCATCAGCAAACAAACCGACTTCTTCGAGAGTAACACGTTTTTGATTTTTTAATGACAAATGCATTGCATTAGCATCATATGTTTCGACTCCAATAATCTTGATGTTAGGCCATAACCTTTTGATGTAACTACCAATACCAGCGATAAGACCACCGCCACCAACGCATGCGAAAATCGCATCAATATGTTCCAAATTGTGTAAACTGTGTTGACGCATGATCTCCATCGCGATTGTTCCTTGACCAGCTATAACGTATGGATCATCATAAGGAGGAATATTAGTAAGTTGCTCTATCTCGGCGAGACGAGAACATTCTTGCTTGGCTTCATCGAAATCATTTCCGTATAAAACAACTTTAGCACCAAGTCGTTCAACATTACGATATTTAATTTCTGGAGTTGCGCTGACATTCTCCAAATAAAAATAGAAGTAATTACGCGTATTGAAAGTTTTATGTTAGATCTTTTTTTTTTTTTTGTTTATAAAAATTAAACGATTTATGAATGATGAAAAATTGCATACATTGGCATTACAATAGTTGCCTTAAGTCCAAGATGTTTTGCAGACATAGCAACACCTTGTGCGTGATTTCCTTAAAGGAGGTACCATCAATTTTGGTTTGAATTAGCTTTATAATTTATTTTCCATTTATATATAAAATCTTTGTTTTTATAATCATACAAACATATCTATTAAATTTATTAACTTAGTAACAAATCTTACCAGCAGAACATGCAATTACTCCTCTTGCCCTTTCCTCATCACTCAAATGAGCTATCTTATTATAAGCACCTCTAATTTTAAAAGAAAACACTTCATGTAAATCTTCTCTTTTTAACAACACTTCATTTTTTACTCTTAAAGAAAGATTTATAGCATGTTGCAAAGGAGTTTCTTTTACAATTTGATAAACTTTTGAGGTAAGTATTAAACCAAGATAATCGGCATTTGTCAAATTGGTATTTTGATTTGATAGGTGAGGCGAAGGCGATGTTGTATCAGTTTCTACAAGTGCTTTTCCCGTTGGGAGTGGATAAGAACCATTATCATTTGTCCTAATATATTCGGATGTCCTTTGCTTTTCTAAAGATTCATTTTCTTGAGGCTCATTATTCTTCTTAACCATGTTGAAGAAATTTTCTTGAAAAAAAACTTATACATCGATTCATAATTTTTTGTTTTATCGTTTTTTACTGGGAACGGTTTCGGAAACCGTTGTTAAGTCCGGAGCACAAGTGTAACGAAAGTGACCAATCACGTATCGTCGCAAATTTTGAGCGGGACATTTTTGTGTCCCCCCGAATTGGAAGGATGGCCATGCGAGAGTATAATTCAGTCAAAAATTATTCCCAAAAGTTTTTTTTTTTTTTTGTCCTTGAAAGATAATTATGAATAAAGAAGGTACGTTATAGCTAAATCTTGATATATTGACAGACATTAGATCTTATAGTTTTAGAATAAACTTTTTATATAGATTCCAGTTTATTGACAGAGTCAAGACAAATAGAAATGGCATTTGACGAGCTTTAGAGTATTTGTGAGTATGAAACTCAATTTAAAGCTCTAAATTAGAGGCGTTCCGAGTCAATTCTCATCGATTATAGTTGTTCTATTTAGTAACTCAAGGTGAAAGGCTATATATATACACACACTATACGTAGAAAGTTGCAACTACCAAAAATTAGCAAATAACTAAATGCTAATGATCTTAACATAATAACAGTGAATGTTTCTCACTTCATAATTTTTCTTTGACAATTTGATTCCCAATATACACACTTCAGATTTAGATCAAATTTTGGAAACTATACAATCACCTTCATCGATAAATATCAGTTACGACAATTGTGATTTCCCTGGAAATAATGATTTAATTACGAAGGTGGATTTAAATAACAGTGCTGAAGAAGTATCAGATCACTTATCTCAAATTAATAAATTCGAGAATTCTACCTCTTCTAATGTCACTGATGTTCAACATCACGTTACATATTCGTCTAGAATTTCATCACCATTAAAGCTTAGTTTTATTCCCGAGACAATTAATGAATCGGAGGAGGAAAGTCAGGTTAACAGTAATGCTCAGATTGACAATTCCGGCAGCAATTCATCAGTTCATGATGTCGATGGCGAAGTTTTCAATCAATCCACATTTAGTAATTTAACAATTTCAGAGGAACCGGAAGGTGTTTCACATAATGAAGATACGCTCGAACGTAAGGAAAGTCGAAAAGATAGCCTGTTTGAGCCGATAAATCGGCTTAAAGAGTTAATGAATTCTCAGCCACCCGTATCGGATAACCCGTTAGAACCTCTTGAATCCAACACTGAAGTTCATTCTTCTCAAGACGCGTTGCCTGTTGAAAATTTGGTACCAGCATCGATTGACACTGACAAGAATACCGATGTAGTACTTAGTATAAAGTTTAGAAAGGGACGCGTTGCACCTGAAGCATTGAATTCATTTGATATCAAACAAATAAAGAATCAGGTGCAAAGAACTAATGCATACGGTAAAAAAAAAATTTAATAATTGAAAATTAAAAATAATAATATCGAATTAGGGATCTTTATTCATATTCCTTTCATAAATTTAGCTGCGAAATTAAACTCATTGAAACGAGAAACCACAGGCTTACAAAAATGGATTAGTACAAATATCGGGAAAGAACCCCCACTAATTGTAAAAAGTATGCATATTCCGTTTGGAAAAGTTTTTTTTTTTTTACCTTATGAATTTCCTCTTTATTAATTGATTCTTTTATTTGAATAGATTACAAAAAAAGATCACACAGAACCTCTACTACTTTGAATAATAGCTCTATTAATATTAATAAAATATATTCTAATCCTGCTTTAGCCATAAGTACCAGCAGTCAGCCATCATTATCAACTGTTTCGAGTACAAATACAGAAAATTCTGCAGATATTTCGTTTACAAACTCAAATACGATGAGCTCTGATAAAACAGCAAGATCGAGTACTTCTCGAAATTCTTTAGATTTAGCAATTCAGGCTAGTTCATTAAGAGGTCGTCCCATATCACCTCCTTTATCACCTAGATCGAAGACGCCTAACTTTCTTAATATAACTCGACACAATAGTTTTAGTAAATCTAATAGACTACCTATTTTTATGCCTCCGGCTGTAATGAATGATCCTTCCGCTAATTCACCAACCTCGCCTACTTCGTCTAGTAAAATTTCGAAAACTGTATCAATTAAACCACGCCAACGTAGATTTAGCTTTCAATCTGTTTCTTCTCGTTTCAGTTTGGGATCATCAACTCCAACATTTCCTACGGCTATCAAAGAAAATAATGATCCTTCTTTATCCAATTCTAATTCAATCGAAGTGGATGAGACAGCATTGAATAAATTATGTGATATTATACCCCAAGCAGATCGTGAGGTGTTATCCAAGTATTTACATGCTGCGGGAGGAAAGGATGATTTAATGGCCGTTGGACTCTACATGAAAGATTTTAAAAATGATAAAATATCGTGTTGACGTCTTGTCAGTTCCAATATCGAACGATATATATATATATATATATATTTCGTTATTAAAAGTTTTATTTCTTTAGCAAGATTATAATTTATTATTATTATTATTATTATTATATAATATTTTATTGATTATATTTTATTTTTTCATTTAGTTTTATATTATTTTATTTTATTCTATCTTATTTTATTTTTTAAAAAAAAAGAAATTTATCACGATTAATGAATTTAATGAATTGTAAGGCAACGGATATCAAAATTTTAAATAAATTAATAACTTTTCCTCTTATTATTATAATTATTATTATTAATAACGTTTAATTCATTACTACTAGAATTGTTAGAATTACACAAACACCCTTTAAATCCTTGATTTTTCTCTACTTGTATTGTTAATTCTTCTAATCCTATTATATGTGATTTTAAAACCCGCGTAACTTCACTGATAATAAATTGTTCCTCAAATTGATCTTTAATTTGAATATGTATACTTCCTATTAAGCATTGACTATCATTAGGCCAAAATCGTGGCATTGTATAAGAAATTATTCCATCGACATGTAATAGCTAATATGTTTACAAAAATGATTAATTAATAAAATAACGCGTGATTTGCAAACAAAATAGGAAAATTTTTTTTATTTACCTTTTGTAAGCCTTCAGTTATACGATACTCAAGACTATCGCTTATTGAAAGCATTAAGACTGCAGCCGAATGTTTAACTAATGGTACAACACTCATGAAAATTAATCCAGCGATCAACATTGAAGCCAAAGGATCAAATCCAGTCCAACCAAATTGATTAATAAGTAATGTTGAAATTATTACTCCAATTGAACCAAGCGTGTCAGCCAATATATGTAGGTAAATACCTTTTAAGCAAGCAATTTTAAATTAGATAAATAGTAAATCAATCAACCATTCGAGATATTTTAAAAAGATAACAAACCTTCCATATTTGCATTATCGCCATGTTCATGATGATGATGATGATGATGATGTCCATGAAGACTGCCGTGATTTGCATCAGAACTGTGATTATGACTCTTATGATTAATATTATTATGATCATGGTCATCTCCATGTCCAGAATGTCCATGATGATGTCCATGATTAAATGCTAAAATCCCCACCAGGTTAACAACAAACCCTAAGAAGCTTACTAATAATAATCTATCAGTGTTCATTTCGGGGGGATCAATTAAACGACCGATAGCCTCGAACATGATAAATATAGAAATCAAAATGAGGAATACTCCGTTCGCAAATCCTGAAAGCGTTTCGATTCTTCCATACCTATATAACATAAATAACACCTTGAATGTAATTGAGAAAATGTATTATCAAATTATTTCTTATATTTACCCATATGTAAACTTATTGTTCTCGGGCCATTTGCTCATGATAGCAGCAAAAAGTCCAACCGCCAATGCCAAACAGTCAAAGAACATGTGAATAGCTAAAAATTGGGAGGAATTAAAAATACAAAAACGTGAAGAGACAGATTTTTTATTTTTATTTTTCAAGATTAATTAATTATTGGACGGTTTTTTTTTTTTTTGCTTAACGTACCACAACCTTACCATCCGAAATCAAACCCAAGCTATTGGTCCAGATGCCGTATACCATTTGAACAAACATATAGCTCAAATTTAATAATAAAAAATAAAAGATTTGCCGCGAATCACGATTATCCAAGATAATTTTGATGTAGGAACTGATATTTTCCAAGATTCCGAATCCTCTTAATGCATGAAATGTAGAATTTGCGCTGCCGTGAAGTGGGAGCTCAAAAGCACTACCACCAACTCCAGGCGATAGAAAATGTGTTTCATTTGCGTATCGCGTATCAGCACTTATCAAATGATAAATTCCCAAAAACATGATACCGGCCAACACTATATCCAGAATCGAAAATTCTTCATAAAATAAAAATAATCCTAACAAAATGGAATTTCCAATTGAAATTGGCCATCCTGCTGTAACATGAGAGAGTGTGGAAGTTTTTATACCAATCGAGTGGCCGACAAAATAGTCAAATATAATTAGACCAGCTCCCAACCCTCCATATGCCACAACCACGTGTTTAATATTTTCTATGTAATTTGTAGAGTACTATAAAAAAAAAAAACTAATTTTAATTCGAAATTTCAAATTATGTAGAGTTATAAAAAAATTTTATGATTCCATATGATTCCATACCATAAGATATTGAACAAAAGCTAAGGGTGAGATCATTAACGCCCCAAGAGGAACAGAAATAGCAAGTAAACGTCTATTCCCACCCACATCGACAGCCAGCTTTTTCCCTAACGTTCGTTTATAACCTGATAACCCGATTGAACATAGTATAGAAAGATACCCAATAACAAGACTAATAATAGTATGATTTTCAAAATAACTGGCATCAAGAATTGTTTCCATATCTTGTGATAAAGGTATTGAAGGTTTTGAATTTGTACCTAATAAAATAAAGGAATCACTTAAACCAAAGAAAACTTAAACAGCAATTAAAGAAATAATTTAAAATTTGTTACTTGAGACATATATCAAATCTACAAAAAACGACAAGATTAATGTCCATGCTGTATAATATGCTCCCTTGGCCTAAATGATTTTAAAAAATATTAACTTTAATATATCAATCAAAAAACGCGAACTTAAATAAGTTTATAATACCGTTAATGTAGAATCTAATGATGAATTATTTCTTAATAGATACGTTATAAATGGAATATTCCATATGTCTGAAAATTGTGTTAATATTAAAGTTCTATCAAGATTTTCATATGAATTTAATTGATTAGTTCAAAAGTTAGTGAGAAATATAAGGATAAAAAAAATTACAATTAAATTATATATCTCACCTTGTCGATCTTAGACGTGATAATCCCGCGAACCATAAATAAATTTGAGCGGTATATATTAGAGTATACAACGCAACTTTTGGCCACTGAAAGTGATACAATTATATTAAAGATAAGATATTACAATAAAATAACTTATTAATAAATTAATCTTACTTTCATGCTTATAAGTGTTCGATGACTATTCGCGGATTTTTGCCAAGCTAACAACAAAAGTCCAGCCCCTCCTAAAACTCCAAACGTTACGACTGACACTGGAGCACCACGTAGAAGAAACCAATCACGAGCTATGTATGTTGATAAAGCATGTATAAACTTGGAAATAGTGAGGAAAGTAAGTAGGTGTATGGGTATACTTTAGGTTTGAGGAAGTGAAATGTAATTAAATAAAAAAAAAATTTTAAAAAGTTAGATCTTTTTGACTTACGAAGAACATTATAACTATACGGTAACATTCTTATTGAAAACTACCGAAGTAGATCGTACGAAATATCGTAACAATCGGTACAATGTCTTCACAGTCAGCTTGATCACTGAATTGAAATCCACTTACTTTGACGGTGTTCTAACATTTATTTTATCTATATTTATTGTGCCTCCACGTTTTATAGGAGCATACGAAACCTTTGGATCCGGCATTTGACTCGATTTTAAGGTGAAAAAAAGGTAAAATCAGCTTTTATACGTGAAGGTTAAATCTCTGGTGAAACTTACGTAAGTAAGTACGTCATACGTCGTTTTTTTTTTTATAGTCCGGACTCAACAACTGTCCGTCCGCTCAAAATTTGAGTCGATACGTGATTGGTTCATTTCGTTACACTTGTGCTCCGGAATTAACAATGGTTTCCTAGTTAGTCCGAGAGGAATAAATTTCGTCACGTCTTTCAGCTTAAAATTTAGACCTTAACAATACATAATCGGTCATGGACACCATCAAAGAACACATTGAAAGTCGCGATTTTGCTGCGCTTGTTGATTTCTGCGAAGATTTAGAATTACAAGTAAACTTTAATTCGTTTTTTTTTTCGCGATTTTTAAAAAGTACAACCGACTTTTTATTTCGTAAAATGGTACTTAACCTCTTATCTCAAAACGTATTTATATAGCTTGCCCTTACACCGAACGCCAATATAAGTCCAGAAGATTTTTATGGACCTTTTTTACTTGGATATTTATTAGAACAAGATCTGTAAGTAAGTTTTTTTTTTCTTTTGTTCATAGGCCTGTAAATTTTTTTTAGAATAAAAGTAGTAATTTACTGACGCGAATTTCGAATTCTAGTCCTTCTGCTCGTTTCCTTTGGAAGCGATTACCAGACGCTGTCAAAAGTTCATCCAAAGAATTACGAGCTATTTGGGACGTTGGAGCAGCTTTATGGCAAAGGGACTATGAAAATATATATGATCTTATAAGTTCAAAAACATGGAGTCCCATTATCACGCCTTTGATGGAGCAATTGGCCGGTATTTTGTTAATTATTTAATCATCTAAAAAGTTATAAAAAAACTTTAATCACCAACATCACTTATTTTTTTAGATAATTTACGAGAACGAATGCTTAATCTTATATCGGAGGCGTATTCTTCTATTGTGATCGATGATGCGGTCAAATATCTTGGTTTTCCGCGTGAAAAAGTATTAACGAGTAAGAATTTGGATAAAATTGAAAGTTAAAAAAACGTATTTATATTCAAGTGATTCCTTTCTTTTTTTTTTTAAAAAAAAATATATATATATTCTTTTTAGTCGTCGAAGAGCGCGGATGGGAAGCTGATCTAACTACTAATATGTTACAGCCAAAGAAAATTGGTAAGCGCAAAATTATTTTATCATCGTAGCAAACTTCAAATTTCCACTTTGTTTTATTTATTGATTGATTTAATTTATTTTTCAGTCCAAGAAGTTCAGCAATCCACTTCCCTTGCGAATTTCTCCCAACTTACCGATTTAGTCATTCACTTGGAGAAATCTTAAATTGTAATGGGATAGTAATATACTGTTATATTTTTTATTATATCTATAACTTTTACTTTCTATATTTATAACACCTTTTTCCTTTTTTCTTTTTTTTTTAAAAAAAAACAAAGATAGCCAATGCTGTGATGTTTTTATTAGATTTAAATATAAATAGATAAAGTTATAAACAAATGAGAACGAACAACTCGAATAAGTAAAAATATTAAATTATTCTTCTAATAAGAGTAAATTGACTTTTATGCCAGGATGAAAGACGTTAAATTCATCCACAGCTTGTTGATTAATGCTTCCTAAGGTTCTAGCATATCCACCTAAAATGAAATCACTTTCATAGCTAGTTCTATATATCGTAACTTTTTTAAGCGGTTTACATTTCTCAATCAATCTCCATAGAGAAAAATTTGTAGTATTTTCGAAAACATGCTCAGGACAATCATAAATAATTAAATCTCTCAGTGTTTTAAATTTATCAAATATATCATTTAATAATTCGATTTTAATATCTGTAATTGAAGTAAATGAGAATGACAGTGTCATCAATTGAGGACAATGATTAGCGAGCAAATCCAAAAAAGAATACGTTAAAGAGGGAATTGATCTCATGTGATGAATTATTAGTTGCTTAAGTGTGTTTTTATTAGATGTTACTATCTTTTCTAGTCCTTGGATTGTGATTAGAGCACATTTACTGAAATTTATGGATTCTAATTTTGTGCAATGACTTGACATTGCGATAATTGCATCACTTGTGACCTTCATTGATGCTGTTAGTTCTATGCCTTTCAACTTTTGTTTTCCAAATTTCGCAAGAGCATATATTCCAACATCTGTAAAACTAGAACGAGAGTTCGCAATGTTTACATATTCAAGATTATGACAATAATATGCAATCTGAGATATTGATCCATCCGTAACTCCCGAACAATTATCAAGTGTTATACGTTTCAACTCTGTAAAATTTTGAACTAAAGCTTTCATGGTTGATTCTGTGACATCCTTTGCTCCAGTCAAATCTAACGTTTCAACAAAATTAGGAACCTTCATATTACATAGATAGCGGATTTGTATTGTTGAAAGAAATGAAACGTCGCGAATTATTAATTCTCTCAAGTTTGGACAACGCAAAACTACAATTCCCAGCCAATTTTCATTGACCGTCTCGTATAAAGACTCTTGTATCTCATTAACATCGATTGTAAAGACACACAGTCGTGCCTGCTCTCTCGCTGTATTTAATAATATTTCGAGAAAGCTTTGAAAGGACTTAAGAGCTGTTTTACTATCATTACCAAACTTTGGAGTTCTCCACAATTTTAAAGTAGCATACTGGTTCCATTCTACACTCACAAGTGCACAAGTGAATAGTTCTTGATGACTTACATAGTTGAAAATGCTATGAAGAGCAAGCTGGTGTTGCATGGTGTAAACAAATAATATAAAAAATTTTTATGATAACAAAGTAGACAACAAAGATCAGCTTAAATTGCTAATCAAATTGGATAGAATATATTTTTTTTTTTTTGCAATGATCAGAATAACAGCATGATGGAAGTTTATGTTTATTGGTTGATCATAAAATAGAACAAATCGAACATGATTGGCTAATACATATCGTA